GCGATTCGTTTAACAGCGCGAAAAATCAAATCTGTAAATTGCACGGAAACGCGATACGAATCGATATGTTTTTAAATTAAACAAACCTATTCACCCCCTCTCCCCCTGCCCCCTCCGACTCACGCGGTTCAAGCGGTTGAAATCCCCTCCACCCTCCTCGCATTTTATTTTCCAACGTGGGGGAGGGGACGAGAAACAAAAATACGAACGCGCGGGATATTTGCATAAAAAAGAGGGAGGGAAGGAAGTGAAAATAAAACGAGAAAAAAAGAAAAAAAGTACTACGAAAAACAAATGCATAGTCATAGAGAGGGCAACGTATGCGTGAACACGCGTGTCGCGCAAGCAGTGCAAACATGCGTGTCGCCAAGAACACGAGGAAAGGCCCTCCCTCCCTCCCTCCCTCCTCGAAAGTTGCACGAGGGATGGATGCACACAGAGAAAGGAAGGGAGGGGAGGAAGGTTGAACGTGTTACACACGGCGTTGAATAACGAAACACACGAGGGAGGCGGCACGTGCACTCTCCATCCCTCTTCCTGACAGCTCTATCTCGCGTTTATCCGGCGAATCTACCTTCCCGTCTTCCACCAGAGGGATGCATCTTCTCTCTCCCCCCACCCTTATCAACCATTACTCCCACGGAATACCGAAATCTCTGGATGGATGGATGGATGGATGGATGGATGGATGGATGGAAGGAAGGAAGGAAGGGGGAGGCTGGAAGAATTCCGGAGGAGGAGGAGGAAGAGTCGCGCGCCTCTTGTGAATCTTCGAGAATGTACGCGCGGAAAGGAGGAGGGGGTTGAAAGCGTAATGAGCCGTAATCTCGGTGTTCCACGGATTTATTCGAGGCGGAGAGGTGGTTCGACGAATCGCGCGTGTCGAGAATTCGCTATTGTAATACGAATACGCTGGCTGGTTTGTATTGTGGACACGGTTGGCTGCACTGGCGGATGCCAGTATTTCGGTTCTTCTTTCGGCTTGTTGTTGTCGGGGGCACGCGTGCGCCGCAATTCTTTGGCAATGATCGTTCGATTCGATATGGCGTTATTCGCGGACAATGTCGAACGAATTAAAGTAGCCATCTATTTCGAGCGTTTTTTCAATTTTGGTTTTTTTACGCAGGGAAAGATGAATTGGAATTTATTCTATCGTTTCTATCGTCGTAAATAGATAATTATTGTGAATTATCGAAAGACAGAGGAAAAAAAGTGGATAGGTTTGTTCGTGTATTTTAATATTATTTAGTATTCCTTCGAATAATAATTCGTTCTAACCTATTCCACGATTCGAACGACAAGATTTCTTATATTAGATATATTTTTATTAGTGGATGAAGAATTATTACGTTTTATTTGCCGGCTAATTTTACGATCTTGCGAGGAAATGCTTAATCAAAGTATACGAAATATTGAAAGTCTCATGGCTGCAAATGAAAAAAGATATAAAAAGATAGAAACGAAAGAAATCGTTCGCGAGAATAAACGATTGAATAACGTGTATTATCCGCGTAAAGATTCGATCTATTTAGTAAAATATATTTAGTAAAATTTTCCCATATCATCGTAACATTTTTTTTTCTTCCAATATTAAAACTCGTCGATAATTCGAGTTCAACGAAACGCAGGAACATTTCATCTTCCTCTCTCTCCCCTTTCGAAGACGTAAATTATTTTTCGTTTTAATCTCGTTTACTCCGTCTGTTTGGATTCGCGCTCGAACAAACTCTCGCGGGAAAAAGAGAGAGAGAGGATTTCAATTTTGCACGAGGCGCAGACAGTCCACAGGCTTATCGTCTCGCGAGGTGGGCTTATCAAGAAGACTCGAATGGAAGAAGCGGGCGCAATCGTCAGGTTATTTCGAAACGTCTTCGCTCATCCGCCAATTAGCAAAAAGGTAAAACTTTCGCTCAACGAAAAGCTCTCGTTCCTCGTGTTTTGAATCTTATCTTCGTCGCTCGTTTCGAATCGAGATCTAATAATGGGATAAGAAAATAAAATTGGGATTCCTCCGAATCCTCCCACTTTTTCGTCAAAGTTTCTCCTTTCGAATAAGAAAGAAAGAAGTTTCTTATTAAATTATTCCCTTTCCTAAAATATTTAAAATTCTTTCTGAGAGAAACAAAATATATATACATATACACACCCGCAAGACAACTAATCCTGTTAATCTAACAGCTTACAGGATATTTCCACATAATCCCAAGGACAATCTAAGACCAGTCCAGAACGTCCCAGGACGAGAATCATCCCTCTCCATCCTCCCTCCCCTCCAATCTCAGTTTCAAGTGGCACTTGAGATGCAGCTCGAGGGCTCCTCGACCGGAAACAACCCTCTCCCGTGTCCACTCGATGAAGTATCGACCCTCCCCCCC